TCGCTCTCTTCCGGTTCATGGATGTACTGAGTGTAAACTGAGGCAGTCTGAGTGAATGAACGGTCACACTGAGACCAGGAGTCTAGTGGGTACTTAGAGACATTTTATCTCACCAGTATGGGTGTGCTCTGAACCTATGTGTGATGCATGTTACAGTAAATGGTGGTAAGGTGTGTTTAGTATACTGACAAAAACAGCGGAGCACCCGCCTGCCTGATGGGTCATGAGTGATTTTCTCGGGTTTCTTGTAAATGCCGGCCTCCTTGGCAGGCTATGATTGACCCATGTGTGTAGTTAATATTTCTTAATATTTTTGATACTTTTTCTCAGTGACTGATATTATTCTGTTGAATGTGCTTAAAGCACTGAGACCTGGCCAACGCGTCTCCCCAAGGCGTTCGCATGGCCTAGTGACATATTTTCCCGCATAACTAATAGCTTCGTTAGGAAACAAGTAACATATTTAGACTGAGAAACGTCTATAATAATTTTAAAATATAATAACAGTCCCTTAACTTCATGATTTGCGTCCATTAATTAGGTAAATTACATTTAATATCGTATAGGCCTAGTTCCAGATGCGCTCACTACGTCCGGGCGCGGGCGCCACCCTCGCTCAGTTAACCTGCTATAGTATACATTTAAACCTACCCTTCCCTGGTCCTGTTTTACCCCTTGTCCTCAGTAACCACTTTTACTCCCCAGGACCTGCTTGTTTTTTGACTCTCACTTACCCCGACCTCTCTCTACTGGCGAAACCCCCCCTTTGGAGTGACAATTTCACGCTCCAGGGATGCAGACAACGTCTTTACCCCCGCACGAGACAAGTGTACTCCGTCACTACTGTACAGGTAGTCGTTGAAAGAATGGGTGCCAGTTATCTATGAGTGCCCAACCATTGCTTGCACAATGTTTTTCCAGTCGGCAATTTATAGCAATTGCCCTGGGCAGCCATTCACGACCAACTCCTCTTCTAGGCAAAACACCACATACTATCGGGATCCCTCCCCTATCTCTAATCTTCCCCAGCGCCTCCCTATACCTTTTGAAAAGTTCCTCACTCCTAACTTTTCCTATGTCGTTACCTCCCACACTAAGACACACTACTGGCTTGGTACCCTCCCATGACAAAACCCTATCTATCCTCTCAGCTACACGCCCTATCCCAGCCCCAGGAAAACACACCCTAGTCCTACGTTTCCTATCTCTTGCACAAAAAGTCCTCTCTAAGAACCTCACCTGGCTGTCCCCAACTACCACGACCTTACCACTGGGCAGGGTCTGAACAACTGCCCTTTTCTCTCCTGGCACCACACCGTCCTGCCTCCTCTCCTCCTCGCCAGCTTCCTCCAACACCTGGTAGGGGCTACTGCACTCCACACCCGGGTCAGCTTTCCTGAGTCTGACCTTAGTCCCCTAGGAAGGAACCACTCTTCACGCCTGTTCCTGAAGGAGTTCAGTCCTGAGGGCTTCGTTCTCCCCCTTTAACACGTCCATCTCTCTCCTCAACTGCTCCAGCTGACTTAACAAAGTAACCAGGTTCCTCACACTCGGCTCCTCTTCTCCCACAACACAACGATCCACGGCGGCCATTTCCTCTGGTCACTAACACGAGCACTTAGGGGCACGTCCTTCTCTCATTATATACGGAGGTAAAAGTCTTCAAGACGGGTAACAAAAGTAAAGAACTATATCCCAGTCCCATGCTTATAAGACGCAGAAAATGTGTGCCGTAAAATAGGACAGGATAATATGATACGCCAGCCGGCGGTAACAACTGTTATATAGTTCGTCCTTCACAGCTGAGATGTTGGATCACAAAAGAACATAAGAAAGTGGGATACTGCAGGAGGCCGACTGGCCCATACAGGGCAGATCCCTTTCACACCCATCCCAGCACTTCCATGTGCCTATCCAACTTCGTCTTGAAGCTCCCTAGCGTCCCCGATCCTACTATAGCACTCGGTAGCCTATTCCACATATCCACAACTCTATTACCAAACCAGTGCTTGCCTATATCCTTTCTGAATCGGAATTTATCTAATTTAAAGCCATTTGTTCTAGTTATTTCGTTATTACTGAGCTTCAGAGCATCTTCCATTTTACCCTTGTTAATCCCACTTACCCACTTGTACACCTCTATCATATCTCCCCTAACTCTACGCCTCTCTAATGAATGTATGGTAGTTTAAGTGAGTCAGTTAGATATGTTCTCACATCACCAGTTAGGAGGAAAACTTAACGTAGGAACCTTTGAGAATCCATCTTTGTGTGGTAGCTTAAGTGAGTCAGTTAGATACGTTCTCTTATCACCAGTTAGGAGGAAAACTTAACGTAGGAACCTTTGAGAATCCATCTTTGTGTGGTAGCTTAAGTGAGTCAGTTAGACACGTTCTCACATCACCAGTTAGGAGGATAATTTAATGTAGGAACCTTTGAGAATTCATCTCTGTGTGGTAGCTTAAGTGAGTCAGTTAGATACGTTCCCACATCACCAGTTAGGAGGAAAACTTTACGTAGGAACCTTTAAGAATCCATCTTTGTGTGGTAGTTTAATTGAGTCAGTTAGATACGTTCTCACATCACCAGTTAGGAGGAAATCTTAACGTAGGAACCTTTAAGAATCCATCTTTGTGTGGTAGCTTAAGTGAGTCAGTTAGACACGTTCTCACATCACCAGTTAGGAGGATAATTTAATGTAGGAACCTTTGAGAATTCATCTCTGTGTGGTAGCTTAAGTGAGTCAGTTAGATACGTTCCCACATCACCAGTTAGGAGGAAAACTTTACGTAGGAACCTTTAAGAATCCATCTTTGTGTGGTAGTTTAATTGAGTCAGTTAGATACGTTCTCACATCACCAGTTAGGAGGAAATCTTAACGTAGGAGCCTTTGAGAATCCATCTTTGTGTGGTAGCTTAAGTGAGTCAGTTAGATACGTTCTCAGAATGTCCACCTGAAGAATTGTCACCCCAGAATGTCCACCTGAAGAATTGTCACCCCAGCCCACAGTGAATATAATTTGTATAATTAGGATAATATAAATACATTCCTTTGTGTTATGCATCTTTATTGTGATACTGAACAGCAATGTGTTGACATGAAATTTCCAGAGGATTATCAGAAAAACGACCATGCCACATGAATTCTTGAAGGTAATAATTTAAAAAGCTTCGTTTGCAGCCACGCATGGTCTTGATGTAACTCTTGTTCTTGTTCCAATATGAGTCAATCGTTTGTGTGTGCACACCAGTATTCACATCCACAAAAGTCTGTTTTGTTGAAGCCACCGAATAACTTTAGAGGAATCATCACACAACAGTGGTAGGACGACAGTTTGGAAGGTATTGCCTGCCATGGTCGACTGATGATTACGACTAAAAATTTGGAGCCCACTTACTATTATATAGTCCTCCTACCTGACTGGAGGGTCCTGACTCCACTAACCTGAAGATTAACAACCGTGGAGGGTCTAGACCCCACCTGAAGAATTGTCACCCCAGGTGTTGCCACCTGAAGAATCGTCGCCCCAGGCTATCCCACCTGAAGAATTGTCACCCTGCCGGACTCTGGGGTGACAATTCTTCAGGTGATCCGAGATGTTGTATAAATGAGTTTATTCATAATGACCGTTTTTGACGAGAAAGATATTTAACTAAATTATATAGAGATACACACATAATTATTTCAAATATGAACACGTAGGAAGTTTATCAGAAATATTATACTGTTAAACTCTGGTAACAAATTGACGCTTTCGGAAGACAAATTTAATATATACTTATTTTTATCCACAATAAGACATAATAAGACTAATTACTTGTCAGTAATATTAAATTATGCAAAAAATAACATTTTAAAAGATCAGTCACATTGAAATATTACTGATACGTAATTAGTATGTCTTATGATGGTAACAATAGGTATATATTAAATACGTCCTCCGAAAGCGTCAATTTGCTACCAGAGTTTAATAGTTAATTCATGTATAATATTTCTGATAAACTTCCTACGTGTTCATGTTTGAAATAATTATGTATGTATATTTATATAATATAGCTCAATATCTTTCTCGTCAAAAACGGTCATTATGAATAAACTCATTTAGAAATACATCATTACTTGAGGACGAAATCGAACAAATTTGTAACATCCAATCAGGTGTAAGTGTTGAGGAGGGGGCGGGGCTTCTCTTCTCTTCCTTGTTTACAAAATACTTTATTTTTATAATAATATTAAAGTCGTTTGTTACTCTAAAATTATTATTAGTTCAATAAAGTTTCATAGACTTTAACAATTTAACCAAATGTTATTTACCGTTGATCGGTAATGTTTAATATTTTATTGTTGGCTGCCATACCACCAAGGCTTCTTCAGTGTGTAACACACCTGTCGGGGTGTGTAACACACCTGTCGGGGTGTGTACCACACCTGTCGGGGTGTGTAACACACCTGTCGGGGTGTGTAACACATCTGTCGGGGTGTGTAACACACCTGTCGGGGTGTGTAACACATCTGTCGGGGTGTGTAACACACCTGTCGGGGTGTGTAACACACCTGTCTCTTATGGCACCACAACTTTTACTTCAATAATTTGATTTAAATAAATTATATTTTTTGTAAATATTATATAAAAATAATTGATGTTGATGAGTTAATAAATGTTCCTGTGTAAGTGGTAAATATTATTGTGTTAATAAACTAATGCCATGCCATTATTTAAGCCTATGTCAACAATATAGTAATTTGTTAAGGTTAATAAAGTGTAAGATTTATTTATTTATGTTAGGGCGAACCTTACAGTTAACAGTCATACACTGTATAAGGTCTAGTCTTATGACTTGACCATCATCTTTACTGATGATAGTTTGACCCAATAACCATCACCAGGGATGAAGAAGACCCAGGACATTACCTTCCAGGGGTCCTGGTGCAGGTCACTGAGGTGGAGTGGGCCGGTCGGGTTAACAAGGCCACACCCCCACCTCCACCCCCACCTCCACCACCACCACCCACCACCACCATGGTGCACTGCACAGTCTGTGTGATGTAAGGTGACGTCTGAATTACTACACTATAATTACACTATTATTCACCATTACTTGCCCTCACTATTATGGGCGGCAATAAACATTATTTTACAACATATAAAAAAAGGGGCGTCTTTCCCAGCTGAGAGGAGAAGCCCCGCCCCCTCCTCAACAGTTACACCTGATTGGCTGGTTCAAATTTGTCCGTTTGGTCTTCAAGTAATGATTTATTTATGAATGAGTTTATTCATAATGGCCATTTTAAAGATAAATATATTTAACTAAATTATATAAAGATACATACATTAATTATTTCAAACATAAACACGTAGGAAGTTTATCAGAAATATTATACAAGAATTAACTGTTAAACAAAAAAATTTCGATTTCTGTGGACGCATTTAATATATACTTATTTTTACCACAATAAGTTATACTAAGACAAATTTCGTATCAATAAAAATATATTATGCAAAAACTACCATCTTAAAAGAACAGAATCACATTGATATATTACTGATAAGTAATTATTATATCTTATTGTGGTATTAGTAAGTATATATTAAATGCGTCCTCCGAAAGCGTTAATTTGGTACCAGAGTTTAACAGTTAATTCTTGTATAATATTTCTGATAAACTTCCTACGTGTTCATGTTTGAAGTAATTAATGTATGTATCTAAATAATTTAGCTAAATATCTTTCTCGTCAGAAACGGTCATTATGAATAAACTCATTTATAAATACATCATTACTTGAGGACGAAATCGAACACATTTGCAACAGCCAATCAGGTGTAAGTGTTGAGGAGGGGGCGGGGCTTTAACATGCAGTATATATTACCTGTTATTGTTATTATTATTGTTGTTGTTATTGTTTTTGTTTTAAGATGATCTTGGTGGCCACTAAATCATTACACTTATGTAGTAAACACTTAACATATAAGTGATGCTCACATAAACACTTAACACTTACTTCCTGCCGACCATGTGTCGTGGTCCCTGTCCACCGTGGTGAACGACTCGCCATTGTGGTAGTTCAGTCCATCACCCAGTGTACTACTGCTGTTGTACTGCTCCACAGTCAGCCGGTACCTGAGGGAGTTGTGTACAAAACTAAACTTAGTGGTGATCTATACATCACTAATAATATGGACAAAGCCAAGTTATCATGTGGTGCTCTGAGTGTCACAAGTGTTCATTTTATTAGTTTGTTTTGATCGAAATTTGACGGGATAATAATGTATGTCGTTCCTCTCTTTAGGTCAGTGTCTTTTGTGGAGTTTAGTTTAGTCTGTCATCAAATAATGAAAGAAAACCGACAATTATAAGTATTTGTTATTATAAATTGTTAGACCAAGAAAGGCAGCAATATTTAGTTTGTTTATTATGGTAAATGTTTTATTTAGTTTGTGTATAAAAATAATGTTAAGATGAGATATATAATAGGGAGGCCAACATTTACTGACTCTATTATTAACCTTTTTATTGGAACCCAAAACCTGACATAGTAAATAATGTTAAACTAATTATGTGCTTCTGACTTAAATGGTCATTAGTGAAGAGACCAAGTATGTAATATTTGTCCAAAGATATGAGGAGTTGAGTCCTCTGAGCCAGGGGAGAGAGGAGCGACCTATTTAGGCTTATGTTTGAGGTGATAAAAGGTCTAACGTAATCTGTAACGTTGACACACTAAATAATGGAATATTAAAGACTGGCTTCTTTGTCAGGGAGGCTGAGTGGAGTCTATACTGAGTCTTAATATAAGAAAGATATTATGAGGAGTAGTACAACATTTGTTTTAGTTTTTGTATTAAAGTGTAATAATATATTACTGTGAATGTTTCTGTCATTGTTTAGTAGCGGGTTCAAGTATAAGTGTGAACCAGGAGCTGCCACGAACCTTGCAGCCCACGAGTGAAGGCAGGTTACCTCAGGTGTGTGTTTCTTTAACACCTCATTACTCTCTTAATAAACAATTATATTTGGGTCTATTTTGGGAAGTAAATGTAAGTTTAAGTCTTTGATTTAGCCTTCATAGTTACTGTAAAATACCTACTGACAACCTCATTGTTTCAGCTCGGGTTCATGGACCATAGTTGGTGTAAAGAAAGAAAGTGTTGACAGTTAAGTGGCAGGAGAGTGTGTAACATAAGCGTGCTGGTATACCTGTTGTCCTCAGGAGCGACACGGAACACTCGCCACTCTCCATATCGTTGTTCTCCCTGCAGGTTGGTGGCCTCCACCCTCAGGCGGTAACGTGTCTCTCCACCAGTCAGCGTGTGTAAGTTCTCATTTCCTGTAAGTGAACACAATAACCCACCTTGGCTGATGGTAAGTAAATAAACCTACATTGTGTAATGTTATAGCCATTGGTGGAGTGAACCACAACAAACTACAATAATATATGAGACACCTTACCCAGCCAGTGTTCTCCTTCAGGGTCCCCGAAGCCTTTCTTGTAGTCTTGCCAAGACCGTGTAAAGTTCTCATTGGGAGTTTGATGGTGACGAGCGAGGAACACCGTCCATGACTGTCCCTCTTGTACCTCACAGTACACCCTCACACCTGCTGGTGAACTGACAAACACCTTCATTATAACTACACAACTCTTGTACCTCACAGTACACCCTCACACCTGCTGGTGAACTGACAAACACCTTCATTATAACTACACAACTCTTGTACCTCACAGTACACCCTCACACCTGCTGGTGGTCAACTGACAAACACCTTCATTATAACTACACAACTCTTGTACCTCACAGTACACCCTCACACCTGCTGGTGACCTACTGACTGTCACCCGTCTGGTCCCCGAGATGAGCTAAGGACTGTCAGTTGAGTGAAAATGTCCAAAGGAGGGCCACCAGACTGGTGCCTGCACTACGGCACCTCAGTTATCCAGAGAGATTAGAACGTCTCCAACTGCCTAGCTTATACTATAAACGGACAAGTTAACACAAGTTTATAAACACCTCAGAGGACATTACTCAGTCATATGTTTACACCAGCAGCTGGCAGATGCCCGTCCCACTAGGGGTCACAGCTTAAGGTTGAAGCCGCAGGTCCAGAAAACCGTAAGGATAAACTTTTGTAAAGTGAGAATTGTGAACTGTTGGAACAACCTGCCAGAGAGTGTTGTGTGAACTGTTGGAACCTGCCAGAGAGTGTTGTGTGAACTATTGGAACAACCTGCCAGAGTGTGTTGTGTGAACTGTTGGAACAACCTGCCAGAGAGTGTTGTGTGAACTGTTGGAACAATCTGCCAAAGAGTGTTGTATGAACTCTTGGAACAACCTGCCAGAGAGTGTTGTGTGAATTGTTGGAACAACCTGTCAGAGAGTGTTGTGTGAACTGTTGGAACAACCTGCCAGAGAGTGTTGTGTGAACTGTTGGAACAACCTGCCAGAGAGTGTTGTGTGAACTGTTGGAACAACCTGCCAGAGAGTGTTGTGTGAACTGTTGGAACAACCTGCCAGAGAGTGTTGTGTGAACTGTTGGAACAACCTGCCAGAGAGTGTTGTGTGAACTGTTGGAACAACCTGCCAGAGAGTGTTGTGTGAACTGTTGGAACAACCTGCCAGAGAGTGTTGTGTGTGAATTCATTGGGGCATACACCACCAGAGGAAATTGTGTGTGAACTGTTGGAACAACCTGCCAGAGAGTGTTGTGTGAACTGTTGGAACAACCTGCCAGAGAGTGTTGTGTGAAATCTTTCAAGACCAGACTTGACCAACACTAGGGCAGGTACAGATACATTTTGTGCCCAGTATTTGCCAACAGTGTGTAACAGAGAGCCAGTACTTGCCAACAGTGTATAACAGACAGTCAGAACTTGCCAACAGCGACGTGACCGACTGCCCAAGCGGCTAACAGGCCGATAAAACAATATTGTTAAAGTAACATTTGTATTGTTGATTCAAGTAAGGAAGAAACTGGAGTTGTGTGGAATATAATCAGAATATAAACTTTGACTTGGTAAGTAAGTTGTCTTTCTGATGAACAGAATAGTTAAGTCACTCACTACCACCAGGTGTTAGGGATCACTGCTTATTTTACCAAGAGTAACATGAAAACTTAATTATGAGGCCAAGTTCACTAACTCTACCTCTAACACAACAAGGCTACCACAACTACCAACACAACAAGGCTACCACAACTACTAACACAACAAGGCTACCACAACTACCAACACAACAAGGCTACCACAACTACTAACACAACAAGGCTACCACAACTCCTAACACAACAAGGCTACCACAACTCCTAACACAACAAGGCTACCACAACTACTAACACAACAAGGCTACCACAACTACTAACACAACAAGGCTACCACAACTACTAACACAACAAGGCTACCACAACTACTAACACAACAAGGCTACTACAACTACTAACACAACAAGGCTACCACAACTACTAACATAACAAGGCTACCACAACTACTAACACAACAAGGCTACCACAACTACCAACACAA